CAATGGTAATGTTTTTCACATCTTTTTATTGATTGATTTTTTGTGTGTATTTCATACAGAACATCCCAAACAATCTTATTCATCTATAGACCCACATCCCAAGTGACACCCTCTGTGCCCCCTCCCCCAGAGCCCATATACTCATCATCCCTGTTACTACCCACTGTGTTGTCAGTGCCCCTAGCCATTCCCCAGTGCTTATCCATCCTGAGTCTAGTCAGCCTATGTATAGTTCCTTGTTTTAGGAAGATCAGCTCTTCTTAACCTAGCAGCAAGCTGTGGCCAATATTCCTTTAGATAAGATTGAGGTCTGCTGTTCATTTTCCCAGTTCTACTCTGGGTTACTGTCTGGGAGTCCCTTGGGTCACCCTGGCCAACAATTCAAAGGAAGGTATCTCCTGTCTGGAATTGTTTCTTGTTATGTAGCCTTTAGTTATACACATGGAATCTTAAAGAATTATACTGATCCCATTAATCTTTGGTTATAGTTTCCTTTTGGGTTTTTAAGACCATATAGTTGGCCCAGATAAACCAATTTAATTTTACTCTTAAGGTCATTTGAGGATCTGTTCCTCAGGGGTCACATGGGCTTGGGAGGAGCCCCTGGCTCCTTTCTTTTACCAGTTCCATCTATGTGAAGATAAGTCAAAGGTCCTGCTTGACTATGGCTGGCTTTGCTTAGAAGCATGGAGGAAATGTTTCCTCTGTGTTGACCCTCCTCTTTGTAGACTGGACACTGGCTCAAGTCCATCTGGTGGGGTCTCCATGGCCTCCTTGATCAAGAGGACAGGTGACTCACCACAGTTACAGGATATTTTGAGAGATGTTCCATAGTCCTCTGGAACTTAGTCAACCTAGGAGGGCAAGAAGCAAAAACTATCCTTTATATCCCTCTGACCAAATTAGTATAGGTCTCAAAGTATAGCTGCTAAACAATGTGACATCTTTAAGAGGTGTGACCTTTAGGAGGTGGTTGTCATGAAGGTGGAACCTTCTGTTGGGGACTAACAATCTTGTAAAATGGCTGAAGAGTATGGGTTTACCCCTTTTGGTCACATGAGCACATGGAATTCATTGTCTCTGCAGTGTACAGCAGCAAGGTGCCATCTTGGGAGCAGGAAGCAGGAATCGGCCACAACAAATACTGAACCTACTGGCACCCAAGACTCGTGCTTCCCAGACTCCAAACATGTGAGAACTGAACTGCTATTTATAGATTAACAGTCACACATTTCATTCGACAACACACTGCATAGAGCATGGTGATCCCATGAGATTGTGTCACCTAGTGATATCACAGCCATCTCAGTTTAGGTAAGTACACTTGATGACGTCCACACCATGGTGGCACATTCTCAGGACATATCCTTAGTGTTCATGACACATGGCTACGCTTTGTTATGTTAGTGGAAACAAACGGAGACACTTGTCAAAGATTTCTTTCTGAGTATTTATGCTAGTGAGAAACAGTGGGAACGGTTGGTGAGCTATTCTGTAGCTACTAAAAATGAGGCCTGTTTTAGAATTCTGCTTCTTAGAAAATGGGGACAGGAGTGCAGGGGGAAGGGGCGCTCAGAGAAGGATGAATATGGTCCGAACTGCCTATATGAACCCATCACCGTGTACATGACTATATGCCAATAGAAACTGTTTAAAGGTCTGGAACGTAGCCCCCTTTGTGGAGTGCATGCTTAGCATTTTGTTTGCAGTAGGAAGACAGGTAAAAACGATCTACCTGATAGGTAAGTACACTTGATGACGTCCACACCATGGTGGCACATTCTCAGGACATATCCTTAGTGTTCATGACACATGGCTACGCTTTGTTATGTCAGTGGAAACAAACGGAGACACTTGTCAAAGATTTCTTTTTGAGTATTTATGCTAGTGAGAAACAGTGGGAAGGGTTAGTGAACTATTCTGTAGCTACTAAAAATGATGCCTGTTTTAGAATTCTGCTTCTTAGAAAATGGGGACAGGAGTGCAGGGGGAAGGGGCGCTCAGAGAAGGATGAATATGGTCCGAACTGCCTATATGAACCCATCACCGTGTACATGACTATATGCCAATAGAAACCGTTTAAAGGTCTGGAACGTAGCCCCCTTGGTGGAGTGCATGCTTAGCATTTTGTTTGCAGTAGGAAGACAGGTAAAAATGATCTACCTGGCCGCTAAGAGTAGACCATATAGTGAGAGATTTGAATTTCACAACAGACTATTGTTTTATAATGTGCATGCACTGTTTTAATTATTTTAGACTAATGGGGAGAAGGGAGCAGTATGGAATGACGGCTTCCAGGCACGGCACGGATGTTGCCCTCTTGAACTCACAGTACACACACACACAGACACACACACACAGGCACACACATACAGACACACACACACATACAGACACACACAGACACACAGACATACACATAGACACACACATACAGACACACATACACACACACACACAGACCCACAGTCTCACACACATACAGACACACATACAGACACACATACAGACCCACAGTCTCACACACACAGACACACACACACAGACACACACATACAGACACACACATACAGACACACACACAGACACACACACACACACATACAGACACACACACAGACACACAGACATACACATAGACACACACATACAGACACACACACAGACACACAGACACACACATAGACACACACATACAGACACACATACACACACACACAGACCCACAGTCTCACACACACACAGACACACACACACAGGCACACACATAGACACACACACACATACAGACACACACACAGACACACAGACATACACATAGACACACACATACAGACACACACACAGACACACAGACACACACATAGACACACACATACAGACACACATACACACACACACAGACCCACAGTCTCACACACACACAGACACACACACACACACAAAGACTTGAAGGTGGAAAGGCAGGGGACTATCTGGAAAGAGGAAATGGATTAATGGGGCTGGGAGAAGAGAAGGTAATAGGGAGAATATGATCAAAATACATTATGTACATGTATGAAAATCATCATGAAGCCCATTATTATGTACAATTAATGTTAATAAAAACATTAAAAATAGAATACTTTAAAAAATATTTTATTTTTTTATGTGTATGAGTGTTATGCCTGCATGTAAGTGCATCCATGTTGTGCAATGCCCATGCAGGACAGAAGAGACTGTCGGATCCCATGGAACTGGAGTTACAGACAGTTCTTAGCTGCTATGTGGGTGCTGGGATTCGAACCCAGGTCTTCTGCATAAAACAGTCATTGTTCTTGACCACTGAGCCATCTTTCCAGCCCTATAATAATACTTTTAAAAGATATTTAAAAAGATCAAAGTCAGGCCAGTGAGATGGCTTAGTAGGAAAAGGCAATTGCTGCCAGTCCTAATGACCTGAGTTCAGTCCCCAAGATCCACATGGTAGAAGGAGAGAACTGATCCCACTGTTGTCCTCTGACCTCCACACAGATATCATGTCATGAATGCCCATATCTGCACATAAAATAAATAAATAAAGCAAGCAAACAGGCAGGAAATCAAAGTCAAATATGTATGAGAAGGGGCAAGCTTTGTCAGGCTCCTGCGAAGTGCTCCCTGTGTGTTCGCAGCTTACAGCTCATCCATGTATTCCTAAGGGCAGCACAGGTGATATGCCTGATACTCTGATTCCATGTCAGCCTCCACGCATAATGACATCCCACTTGGTGCATAGTTCTTCCCGACTCCGAAGGTCTCCCCCAAACTCCAGTCTCTATAGATTGACACCTAAGACTCAAACTGCCCTAGCTTTCCAATCCGAGGTGCCAAAGACTGTCAGGGGCCTGTGTGCTCACCTCCTGAGGCAGGCATCCTACATGCCACATTCCTATCAGTGAGCATGTGCATTCTGGCTTCCAACACACTCCAAGGATAAAATGAGCACTTGGAATGGGTGCACTGCCATGCCCCTTCTTGCTCTGTGCAACCGTCCTTCCTGTCGCATTCCAGCTTCCATGTTTGCTACAAACTCACTTCCTGTTAAGAAGCTACAGCACAGTCATAAGCCCTTGTACTGGGCTGGCTTAGCGTACTTGGAAGATGAAGAGCTAGGCTCTAGAAGTCACTGCCTGACAAGTCAAGTCAGGGGCATCTTGGGTTGCGAGGCGTGCAATGATTACATCTCTCGCCCAGATTTTCTCCCAGGCAGTAACTTGTATTGATTATAGTCATAATCAATAGAATCATCAGAACCAGCCTTGCTGGGTACGGTAATGCAAATCTGTAATCCTACCACTCAGGAGGCTGAGGCAGGAGGATGGAGAATGTGGGGCCAGCATGAGCTTCATAGCAAGTTCCAGGTCAGCCTGGGCTACTTATCAAGAGTCTATATATAAAAAAAGAACCAATTAACCAATTAGGTTGCTATGCTTAATGTTCTCCTCCATCCTAAATTCACAGCCACGAGATCCAGGCTTTGTGTTTTTCTCTGCAAAACAGCCAAGGGAAGAAAACACCTTACAAGTTTGGGACTCACTGCTGTGTGAACTTGGGTAAGGGAACAACTTCTCTAAGTCTATCCTCTCGTCTATAAAATGTCCAAAACACATTTCTCATAGATTTATGGAGATTAGGATGAAAGCAGACGGGGGATACAATATAAAATCTGGCATACAGTAGGCGCTCAGTAAATGCTGGCCATGATTAAAGTAGTTTGGAAACGTACGCAGTAGGACCCCTCGGAACAAAGGCACAGGCTTGGCTTAAATGGAGACTAAGCCTGCTAACAGGTATGATTTTCAAAGTCACTGGCATGTCCAGCACGTCAGAATTGTTCCTTGCCATCTGTCTTTCCTGAGAATGAATGAATCAAGATACCCAGGAGAAGGTTCCCAGCTCTGGGGATGCAGCTCAGCGGTAGAGCATTCACCCAGCATGCCCAAGACCCCGAGCTTGATCCTAGCACCAAGAAAAAACTATACAGTACGCTGGATTTCCCTTAGCTGGGTAAGCTGGGTGCTCACGAGGCATTGAGTTTCAGAGTGGCAATGTGGACTAATCAGTTTGTATGCTTTCTAAAATGGCAAGTGAGCTCAAGCCACCCCCAGGAAGTTCCAATTCAATATCCAGGCAATAAGTTAATGGAACTCCTGGCACAAGTGAGCTCAAACCCATCAGTGAGTCAGAGAATTTGAGGGAACAATAGTTAAATAGTCTTCCATTCTCTTCTCTGTCTTTGTTCTTCCCCATTAAGAGCCAAATTGGGTTAATTTGACTTCTCACCCAGAGCACGGCTCTGAAGTGACTATTATTTCTTTACTTATAGTCAGGTTTTCTATTCCCAGAATAGGACAGAACTTGGTCCATTGGAAGTGAAATGGTGAGGCCTCGGCCTTCCCCGCTCTGTACCCTCATCCCCTTCCTGCCCTCCCCTGGCTACAAGTGATCTTGGGAGATTCCATAGTATATAAGAAAGGGAAAGTTGAGTGGAGTCTGGACACCTGGTGCAGCTTCTACGAGGTCACCATCCACCACTGGGTGGGTGCACAACCCACCCCCGTGATCTGTAAGCCCAATCCACTCATCAGTTCACTGAGTTGGACTTCGGTGGAATCATTACTTTGTTCTGTTATCCACGTCCTGTCTGGAGTGAACAGATGTGTGTTTGTGCCCCCCCCCAGGAAAAGTGAGCATAATAGTTACCCACATTCAAGGTGTGTCTCTCTCACTTCCTTAGTAAATCCTCCCTGGGAATACCCTCACGGACAAATCCAGGGGCACAAAAGTCATCTCCGAGGGTCTTCTCATTCCAAGGGGGCACTCAAGTGAAGTGAGAGCCCTTCTCCAAGGCACCCTGAACTCCCCTTTTCTCTGTGTACCTGTTATGACTGGCTGTTTAATTTTCACTTGTTCTAGGAGACCTCAAGCCTTATGATGGGGTGGAAGGAACTAAAACTGTTTTGTTTATTATTTTATATTTTTGTGTATATGACTGTATTGCCTACATGGAAGTGCACCTGTGTTGTACAATGCCCCTGGAGGTCAAAAGAGGGGTATTGTATTCCTCTGGAACTGGAGTTTCAGATGGTTGTTAGCCTCCATGTGGGTGCTAGGAATCAAACCCAGGTCCTGTGCAAGAGCAACCAGTGCTCTTAACCGCTGAGCCATCTCTCCAGCCCCTGTCTTCACCATTTTAACATGCCTGGTGCTGTGGACATAGAATGAGTAGACCATCCACTGGGATCCAACTGGGTGGCTACTTGGTGACCATCAGTCCTAAATTCCCAGATTAAAGGAGATGCAGATATGAGTTTAATTTAAGGCAAAGTTAGCATACAATAGGGTTTTGTCCAGTGAGAGGTGAAGGTCACGCATGTGCAGATCAGATATGATATTTGACTTTCATCAGAGTGACCACTTCTGTGCCAGGAGTTTAAGACTGAGGGTTAGGAAAGGCTCTGACAACTCTGTCCTATGGCCATGCAGTCTGGGCACCTGGGAGGCATGGAGTTCATCCCCCAGCAGAGGGGCTGGAAAGCCCACGGTAGTGACAACCACTGCTCAAATCTTCATTTATTTTACGTTTTGCTGTTGCTATTGTTTCTAAGAGGGTGAGGGCAGTGGCCTCTAGGGAAACCAGTTTTGGTTTCCAGCATCGGGTAAGAGATGTTAAAGCAGTTTATCTCCAGAGAAGCAGATGAGACCCCAGTGTGAAGGGGGTGTAGAATGGTATAGGAGCTGACCCATTTCTTGCTATGGGAAGATCCTGAGGAACTGAGGAATGGAGTCTGTGAGCCCTGTGTTCTGATGTGTTAAAGGCCATGCATGGAACATGGGCCACAACTGTCCTGAAAAACTTGTGCTGAAGAATAGAGGCTGTAAAGGGACATCATACAATGTCAGATCTCTACCTTTACAATGGCATAGAGGAGGCAGTGAGGTAGGTGCCTGTGGCACTGTGATGTATATATGGGGCTTTCATCCAGGCTCCCTGGTTTATGACTCCTACAGCCTGCTGTTTCCTAAGCAGCTGGAATAATGTTGGGAGCACTTTGGGCCGCAGAAAGCACTCTGTCTCTCTCGCCCTCTCTTGTCCTCCTTTTCTGTGCTCTGTTTCTTCCCCAGTATAGGTCACAGGAAGTATCAGTTCCCTTTCCCAAGGTGGATCATAGCAGCTAGAAATCATCCTCCCTGGGCAGTTTGCCTTGGGGCTGGCCGTAAAATTGGTCTACCTGATCTTCTGGAGACCCTCATTTCAGAGGGTACTGCCTAGAGGGGGAATTGCTACCAAGAGGCCAAGAAGGAGCTGAGCAGATAAGGCCTAGCCATGCTTACCCAGGGATAGCTCCTAAAAACTTACACGAACAGGATTCAATTCAGAAGCTTCCAGACTGCTGAATATGGGGATGGGGGGAGGGGCGATTCATAGGAAGGTGAACAAGAACTCCATGTGCTTTCCAACTCCACAGACATGAATGAGTCTGGGTTCTGGATTTCTCTGGGCCTTGCTCTACGTGTCCCTTCATTTGAATATTTGTATCCTTTAAGCATCCTTTATAATAAATCAGTAGGCAGAAGTGCTTCCTCATGTTCTATGAACTGCTCAGGTTATTAGCTGAGCCTGAAGATGGCATCATAGGATCTCCAGCTTATAGCTAGTAGGTCAGAAGTCCTAGAAGCCTGGCCTGGACTTACAACTGGTGTCTGAAATAGAGACAGACTTGGGGCCCAGCCCTACACCGGTGGGATCTGACATTTCTTCCATTTAGACTTAGAAGATGCCCTCTTCGGTCCACTAGGAGATGTGGAATTGATTACTTGCTTGTCTGTAGGGAAAATAATCCCACACATTTGGGATTCACAGAAGTAATCTGTGTTGATATTGGAGCATAAGAAAAGATGAGTTTGAGTTGGTTTTCCTTTATACTCCCAAAGAACCAGCTCGCGAAGGGCCTTGTAAACCTGTACAAAGGAATCAGAATTGGCGAGAAGAATATAAGAACGGGAAATCAGAGCACCAAGACAGGAGCTCTGTTGGGGTCACAGAGAGACGTGTGAGTGGGGTGAAGGTCCCTTAACTAGAAAGGAAGATAGTCAGGAACAGGTCTCAGGAAGCTGGAAAAGTTCCTAAAATACAATCAAATTTTGTGTGCAAATGCATATTTCTGATGAAATGAATGTAGCTTCCCTTGGACTCTGAAATAAGGACCACGGTCATTCATTACCCTGTCACCTGAAAACTGCCCAAAGCCTACAATGGGCCATTATACTCAGAAGTCACAAATACTAAGATTTGCTAAATTTTGAATGAGGAATGAAAAACTCACAGTTTCATGTAGAAACCTAGTTCTTAGTACTCCAAGGCTCTGTCCTCCCTACTTTTAATTTAAACCTCCACAGAACAGGTTGAGGAGTTTACCGTCCTGCAGTGCAAATTGAATTATCAAATGGTCTCTAGTCTAAAACTCTCCACTGCTCCATTCCCCCTTCCCAACAAATGAATTTCTGTGGGTAGATGTTGAAAAGATAAAACCCACAGTCCTCAACTGGCTTAGGGAAGGGGACCTTAAGATTATGGATGAAACAGACTCATCTGTTTCATCTCACACCTCCACCTCTGTGCCAGCGACCCAGAATTTATGCCAATTCCTGGATCACAACAGGCCCCATTCTCTACACTCTTCTTCCCACTGCCCAGGCTGTCCTTCCTTTAGCCTTTGAGAGTCAGCTAAGGATGAGCATCTCCCATGTTCCTCTGCTAACAAGTCCTACTGCTAATTAGGTACCAATGTGTCAGATATCACATTACAAGCTCTTCTAGAAGCATCTCATTTGATTCACTTAAGAAAGTAGCTACTGTCGTTTTACAAAAGGGAACTGAAGTTTAGCAGGGCCTTAGAGCAGAGTTGTACAACCAGCATTGAACTCAAGTTTCCCTGGCTCTGAGATGAGCTCTCAGCTCCCTATTAAACCTTATTTCATGTCCTCAGCTTCTTATGCTTAGGAAGCCCATTGTTCATAGTAACAGGATTATCAAAGTTATGATCACTAATACTTTAGCATCTCATTCCTGTGATAGGTATCCACACTTACCTGTACAATCCTGATCTCTTTATTATTTCAGCTTATCAAATAAGGAACTTGAAGCCAGAAGAATTAAGGTCCCACAGTTAGCAAGAAGAGAATACAGATTTGTATCTGCCTGTCCAATGTCAAAAGCTCCAGTCTATCTGCCCTTCATCTCTGCTCACGTCAAAGAGGGCAACAGATGCTTAAGCGAAACTTGAATAGGGGAACTCAAAGCCACAGGCATGAAGTAGCCTAACTCAGAAAGATCACAGGACAGAGCTTGGGGAAACAAGAGTTGTGGGTCTCAGTGATGTCAACTGAGAATGACTGGGGACATTCTGATCCTCAAAGCTGCTGAGGTGTGGGTGCTTCCTGAAGCCAGGGATGCTGCCAAATGGTCTACAGGACACAGCACAACCACCACCAACAAAATGATCTGGCCCCACATATCAATAGCACCAAACTGGATCAACTGAGA